TGAAGAACCTCAACAAGATGAAGAAGATGACTCTGCTCATGTTGCTGAGCGTGAGATGACATGGTTCATTCAGAATGTCAACAACCTGGTTCTCAACCCATGGATGATATATGACATTGGCATGGTATCACTCCATGATCGTGTAGGGACACGTGTACTCCAGAGCACTGGAGAAGACGTGATCCTCGTGAGGGATTGGGACAGGTTGACAAGGCACCAGAGAGAATATTTTTGTAGAAGATACAAGTTGCTACGTCCAAGTGTTTATGGAACAGAGGAAGACCCCAAGACGTATGCACCGAGTTTTGAACCCGGAATTTCTCAGTGGATGGAGTTGGCACAAACTGGATACCAACAGTTTTTCTTCATCCGTGCTTGGGAGAATGGACGCCGCTGGGCTGAAATTCTGACAGACCATGGCATTGCTTCAGTAGAGCTTTCAAGCTTCTTGGATATGTGCAGAGATCCCAAATTGCTGGGTTGGAACTTTGGTATTCCAGAACCTCAGTGGGATAATTTTGGCAATACAGTGGAGGAAGCATTCAACAATCCTTTATTTGCCAAACTGCACTATCGCTTCAAGCAGGAGGAAGAGATTGGTCGTGTCATGCACCTTGTGTCAGAACTTGTTTGTGACTTTTTCATCAAGGTGCTTCCCAAGTGGGTTCTTGACCACTCGATCTTGTGGGAAGATTTTATGATCTTGGATCCACACACAAAACTTCCTGTTTACAAGACTTCAGAGGCCGCTTTACAAGCAGAAAGGAATCCAGAGAAGTATCATACACATTTTGCTATGAACTTTAAGAAATTCCGTTTTTCTGCAAGGATTGTGTGGTATTTGATTGACCGTGACAGGAATCATTTGGAGAGTTTTCTTCACAACTCCAACAGTAGATTTGTGCAACATGCATGCTATCAACTTCGTGAGTATGTTCAGGCGCGTGTTGCAGTTTCTGATCCCTTGTATGAGATGATCAAGAAGGAAGAGTTTGAACGCCAATACAATTCCAAGTTTTTGGAGGCGATTTCTTGCTCTCGTGTTGTAGTTGAGCCTGTAAGTTCAAGGACGTATGAGCCATCATCGAAGCTGAACTTAAAGGTACTACAAGACATCCTGAAGGGTATCTTCAAGATCCAGAAGGATGAGGAGCTTGCCAAGGAACGTGATGAAGAAGAAGAACAGGCAGCTCAAAACATCTCATACCTGTTGGCAGATGATATGGAGCTTGATTTTGATGATGATGATGTTCCAGTATGGCGCTCCATTGTCGACAAGTATAGAGGAGGTGATCAGGTGCTACAGGGAGAAGCTGTGAAGATTACTCACCTGTTCAGGGATCAAAAGGACAATGAGAAGGCGACAGAAGCTTTCAGTTCAGAGAGGACAGATTTTTATGAGACCTCAGGACCTCTTCCAAGAACCGAGGGAGAAAATCTTGTAGAGGACTTGCTCACCAAGGATGTTGCAGAACAAGCTTTTGAAGCAGGTGAAGAAGTTCCTCCTTATACAAGAGTCTCCACTATCGCTGGTGAAGTCTATACTGGAAGTATGACACTTCTAGAAGATGAGAATATGGAAGAGGAAGTTCCTGAAGAAGATCCTGCAGTTGAACCTGAAAAGGAAGAAGAAATATTTGATGAGAATGCAGGTGTCTTTCCTTCAGAGGAACCAAAGATGGAAGTTGACCAGGAGGAAGCCAAGGAAGAGTCAACACCACACTTTCTGTCAAGAGAGATAGGTGAGGACTCGACTGCATCGCACTTACCATCAGGTGAGATGGATGCTAACCTTGATGATACTTCAGGTCAGCGGAAATCGAAGAGAAGCCGCCTGAATAAGATTCCTGATCCTCATTTTCATGAAGAAGTTCAGGATGATGCAACCATGGAAGAGAAGAAAGAGGCGGTGGAGAAAATAAAAGAGGTCAGAGAGGATGATGGAGAGAAGAAATTGGAGGCTGAAATCCAAGAATCTTTTCCATCTGAAGTAGTTGTTGAAAAGGATACAACAAAAGTTGACAATACCTATGAGTTGCACACTTCACCTTTGAAGTTGCTTGGAGAGCTTACAGGAGATCCAGGTATTGGCTTTTATCAACTACGCTTCAGGGAAACTCGTGCAAGATTGCTGAATCATGTTTGTTTCAGAAAAGGTGAGATTTCCCATCCTCATTATCAGTCAAGGATCAACGAGAATGATTTTGTTCGATCCATTCGCAATATCTGTCCAGTACCTCCACCTGATTGTTATGAACATGAACCAAAGCATGATTTGAAGAGATTCTTCATCAATGATGACCGCATCATTTATTTGGATGGCAGGTATCAGGTCGATCCAAAGGCCCTTGAAAGGGCAGGTCATGCTCGAGAAGAATTGGAGGATACGAAAAAGGAACTCAAGAAGGAACTGGAATCATATGGTCCCAAGGGACCCAGTTGGGACTTTGTCACCTTCTATGAAGAGCTGTGCAGAAGGTTCCTCAAGGGAAGAATAGAAGAACCATATGGAACTAACTTATTGGCCAGCTCAGAGTCCTTGACATTTTTATCCTGGAACTATGGCAACATGGTTCGTGGTCAGAAGTACACCACACCAAGGTTTCTCCAAGGACTTGATAGTGCAATGAGGCCACGCAAACAGAGCGCCATGTCACTTCAGAATGAGCAATTTGAGAACAACCTTTTCTTCAACATGCTCTTCTTTTTACGTGCACATGTCGTGATTCTCCAGGAAGCTCATCTTCTTGTTCCTGCCAAGGAATTTATTGAGCAAAAGAATTGGACAGTTTGTTTCAATGATTGGGAGAATCTTGCAGTGATGGCTAGATTGGCACCAGGTGGATATGTCAAGATCATTGCTGGACATGATCAAGAACTTGGTCACTGTGAACAGCGTGATGTAACTTGGGCTATCTACGAGATTTGTTTTGGAGAAACAAGGCCTCGTCAAGATTTCAAGGATGCAGACTTTGAATTTGATGACTATGGTCCTGAGGACAAGCGTGTTCCACTTACTCGAGCGAACATGCATACCATCAGAGTCTGTAATTATCATGTTGATACACACCGTGCTGTGGATGCCCACCTACTGACAGGAGAACAGACAGCATTGATGCTTTACGAGTGTTTTGTCTATGAGGTGGACATCATTTCTGGTGATGCAAATAGTTTGGCCTACAGAATGTCTGGGTACAAAAGGCAGCCAATGGCTAACTACTATTACAGCACCATGCAGCATTGGATCCGCAGGTTTTCAGAAGCTCGTGTCAAAGCAGATCCTGGTATCAAAGCACCTATTCCCAGAACGTTTTACAGTTCTACTTCACAGGTCCTCAAGAAGTGTGAAGTTTACTTTGATAAACTCTGGGAAGAATACTCTACTGTTGAAAAAGAAGAATACCAAGGATCACAGCTTGGCGATACATGTTTGTCTACCATTGTTGAATGGGGTCATTCAATGAGTGAAGAGGAATATGAAAATTCCACAGTGAGCACGAAGGAGTTCATCTGTAATTTTTCAGAGAACTTTGCTATGATTGACACAGAGGTTATGTGCTCAAGGCCCACTGACGAGGACAGTCATGGTCCAATGTTTATTTCACTCAGACCAGCTTCCCTTTCATCTGGAGACAGAAGACAGTATCGCATGGGAGCAACGCTTCATGAGGCGAACGTGCGGAGGAAGGAGAGACAAAAGCAGAATAAAAGGAAAGGAAGGCCGCCAACTTCTGGTCAAGCAGCTTCATCGTCTGTAGCGGCATAATTCCTGAGCGAAGGCTGAAATTTAAATGATGGCTAGGAAGTGAAGATACTTCTGGTTACAGTTGATACTTTGCTTCCAGGCTTGACTTTAAGTTGCCAGGCTGAAGTTTTAAACTTTAGCAGGTAGATATGGACAGTTTTACATAACTGATGATATCTATTACAGCCGCTTTTTCTGAGATGACCTCTAATGGACAACCAGTCATGGTTGATGATTAAGTTATTTCAAGATTTGCAATTGTAGTGCAAGATTTTTTTGTACATACATTTGCCGGTATCTCCTTCTTGTGTTTTTGATGTGAATGTGAAAGAGAGTCCTTTTGATGCAGTTTATTTTGTCTGTGAATGAAAGCGGTCGAGACCACGTCACGAGAAGATTATTCCTCGGACCGTACGCTCCTTGCATTTTGCAAGGCATCTTAATTCATTGCATTGTGCGGTCTTGAATTTTTAGTTCTTTGTTACGCGAGTGTCGTTTGATTCTTTTATAGGTCTCTGTAGAGAAAAAGCCGCTTTCCCTTTTAGTTTGATTTAGCTCAGGCCCTAAAGAGCTAGTGAGCGCCGGTACATGGTATCTCCGCCTGCGAAAAGTACAGTCTCCAGCCGAGGTACATTATCGTTTTGATTTTGTACTTGAGGTGAGTCAGCTATTGCTCCCTCACTGTATTTAGTAGCTATGAGATTACCTTCTCTGAAGTGTGAAACACACTGGATTAGGTAAGTACATGGCACCGTAGTTTCCTTTTAAGTTGTCAGAGCTAGCTGGACTGTTTTAGCCTTGCAGTAGAAAAAGAGTATGCGACATACGCAATCAGCTAGAAGTGGACATGAATCTTGTGCCTGCTGAAAAGTAGAGCCTACCTGTACAGGGTTCCACTCCAACAGCTGATATAGTGTGTCCATGCTTGACTGCTTCAAGGCTCAAGAGAGGGTCAATGGACCTAAAGAGCAAGAGGATAAGACTCTGCGCATAAAAGACACTAGCGGTCTGCACCTCTACCGTGTACGCCCTAGTCACTCTTTCAGGGGGGGGGGTAGGGGGGGGGGTCTTCGACCTGAAAAATCAGGGGTTAGGATTTGCACCCGGTGGAAAGAAACCTTGCTATCGCAAGAGTAACTCCAGCTAGCTTCGCTAGCTTTCGTGACAAGTGCCTTACTAGTAGGAACAAGAAGCTATTAGAAACAAGTGCATCGCTCACAGTGACCAGTGAAGCTTGCTCTCTTTCCGACCCGACCTGGGAGACACCCAGTCGATAGCCTCACGGCTTCCCTTCGGAACCAATGCTGCGATGGCCTCGCAACGCGATGGTGCATCCGCCCGAGCATACCCGAGTGCAGTTTAAACCTAGTAGCTTCTTGTTACTAGCGATGGCCTCCAACCTAATAGCGATGGGCTCCACCTAGTAGCTTCTTGCTACTACTATCATCGTGATTCACACTCTCAGTGCCTTGATCGCCGACTCCCTCACAGTGCCCATCTGGTCCTGGGAAAAGGCGCACCCGTCTCCAGGCTGCTTCTCTTGAAACAGGCTGCACTTGTGCAACACAGGACTACTACTTCTGCCTTATGGCATGTCAGCGCGTCATGTTTGATATGCTCGTGCAGTCTTATGCAGTTGTTCATTTACCTCTTTGCAAAAGAATCCTTGCAAGGTTGAAGGAGGTTCGTAACTCATTATATAAATAACCCAGAAAGGCCCAATCTACAAAGGCACACACTCTTTTTGGGCACCAACACCAGTCTCTCGCTTACAGGTTGCAGAGCGTCACAAGAGAGGAAGGTCACAGCCCTCACACTGGCAATCACAACCCTCATATCAAAACACCCTTCTCCAGCGGTATGCGATGAATTCCTATTTATATAGTTGCTCGCTTGTCTGAGCACCCGCTGGTTCGACACAGGCCAATCTGTATCAGCTTGTCGCAACAATCTTTGTGTTTGTGTTCTATTAGGTTGGAGGCCATTGCTAGTAGGAGCAAAGGGCATCGCTACTAGGAACAAGGACGCTACTAGTAGCTCCTGGCCTCACTACTAGTAACTTGAGGCCAAGGGGGGGGGCGAAAGCTAGCGCTCCAGAATGGGAAAGTGGAGGGCAGCGAGGTAGGAAAAAACACGGCGCTCTTTTTGGAGGCAGGGGTGAAGAGTCCTTTATATGTGGCTCTTTGCCCGGATCCTCCTGCGAGAGAAGAGAGAGAAGAGAGACGGAAAGACGAGAGACAGAGAGGAGAGAGAGAGAGAGGAGAGAGAGAGAGGAGAGAGAGATGAGAAAGAGATGAGAGAGATGAGAGAGATGAGAGAGATGAGAGAGATGAGAGAGATGAGAGAGATGAGAGAGATGAGAGAGATGAGAGAGATGAGAGAGAGAGAGAGACAGAGAGACAGTGAGACAGTGAGACAGTGAGACAGTGAGACAGTGAGACAGTGAGACAGTGAGACAGTGAGAGTGAGAGTGAGCGAGTGCGGCCGCAAGATACGCAACGCTAACCGCATGCCAAAGAGCGACGACAGGACGGAGCCGAACTTGCGAAGAGGGAGGAGGGAGGGAGGGAGGGAAGGTGGGAGGAAGACAAGGAGGAGGCGAGGGGAGGTGGGGTGGGGAGAGGGGAGAGGGGGGGGGGGGGGGGGGGGGG